AAATTTCCTTATATGGTGCTAAGCACTTATGAAGAATAAAGCAAGTATGGAATAAGGGAAAAACATTCGGCAACATCAGAAGCAGAAGCATCGTGATCTGGCAACATTGAAACAAGTTTCGAGTAGGATCACGTGTATCGACAGAAGGCGAGAAGAGAAAATTTACATACTTAAGTACTAATAGTTCACGAAAATAATAATTTTCGTGAACTATTATTACTTAAGTATGTAAAAATTTATTACATTTCCTGTTGTTCGAGGGTTTTACCCAATTCTCGAACCATGTCAGAGTGAATCCGTGCTATAAAAGTACCGTGTTATACGGGGGATGGTATCAATTCTCGAACCGTGTTAGAGTGAATCCGTGCTATAGAAGTGCCGTATTATACGGGGGCTACCTGTATAGATATATGTAGTAAGCTTGACTATATACAGCAAAACACTATGTAGGAATTGTGTTACAAAACTTACCATGTTCAGCACTTTGCTGTGACTGTATTGTGTGGAAGGCCCTTAGAATCATTGGTCAATGATAATTTATGGTGCCATGGTCATGGTTTCAAACTGGATCATGTGAAAGAGTTATGCAATAATAAACTGTTATTCCTTGTGTGTTGTGCAGTATCTGTCATATTTAACAGCCTGCACCAGGATCCCATTTGATATTTTGGAATGCATTAAAAGATAATACAGTAGTATGAATTTTTCCATATGCTACAATTTTGTAATTGATAATGTTGTCCTACTTTCATTAAAAGCTGAGATTACAACAGTTTATATGATAAAGGGTTGGAGAGAAGGAAATTTATACCATTGTTTAGTACATACCTGATGTATCAGCAAAAGGTCTACATTGAATGTCCTATTATTATTTGAAATAATTGGTCAGGAAGAGACTTATGTTATCACCCTGTTTATATACTGTCCATATATTCGAACAACTGTAGCAAAACACTAGCCATTTTCAAGCTTCATGGACATTGAGACTTTTCATCAGTTTTAGTCAAGAACTATAAAACATACTCATACTAAAATTTCAGACAATTTCACTGAGGGCCAAAACCATAGTTGTATTAGAGTAAGGACTCTTTTTGGCTGAAAATAATTAACATTCCTGCTTTATATTTTCTAAGCCATTAATTAGGAAGCATCACCATTGATTTGCCTCATATTACAGAAAATGGTATAAAAAGAAAAAAAAAAAAAAAAAAAAAAAAAACGGTCAGAACAACGGTCTTAGAATGGCATCCAAACCAAGTTGAGGTTAATAGGCTTCGAGATCTCTACGACGACAATGCTATTAATTACTTTCAAAAAATCCTGAAGAGAGAAAAGCAATCAACATTCGACAGATTCTTTAATGCCTCACAAACGGAAAAAAAACATAACCGATAAAAATGCAAGACTACGTATGTATGTACGTATGTATGTATTTTTATTATTACATATATATAAACATAGTAAGAAAGTATATAAAGTTTTATTTATCTTTGGAGTGTCCAGTATGAATTAAATTTCCATAAAAATCTATAGTAATCAGTAATTGGTTAATGAATAATTCGGGTAGCGAACACGGTCTTGGAACAGATTATGTTTGTTAATTGATTACCCACTGTATAATAAATATTTAATTGAAGAAACATTTCAAATTTATACAAAAAAGAAAAGAAAAAAAAAAACATTGTTAGAAATCAGTTGTTTGTAGTTGATATATGTTTGGTCCTTTTTTCAATAAAAAACCTTGATTATTTAATGAAAATAAGAAATTATCAAAATCTGAAATCTGTAAATTTAATTCTTTGCAGATTTGTTTCATTTGTTTGGCAGTAAAAGAAGAACTACAAGTCTGTTGTGATATTGCTGTTAAAGCTGATATGAACTTTTTAGCTTTAGAATTACTGCTCATCCCAGAACCATGTTGAGATCTCTGAAAATGCAACAATCCAAACTGATCTGAGTATGTATCAATCATACTAAATTTCATTAACTCTACAATATCCAAAGCATCCTGCTTAGTGCATTGATCTCGTAATTCAACTCGAGCTCTGGCTTCTGTTAATCTTTTCATTGATTCTAATTGTCTAGTTGTAATAGGTGTAGAATCTGATGTCTGATGATTTTTACGAAGCTCCAAGTAAAAATTCTGCAAAGTCTTTGCTGCATCATGTGTTAGTTTGGGTTTAATATTTTTTCGAGCATAAGCCACATATTTACGCAATAACTGATGAGGAATTGGATCACAGATTTCACCATGTTGAAACTTGAGACGATCTTCAAGGAAATTTTTATCATCTAAACTACTACAGTCAAGTCTACTCACAAAAGATATTTGAGATGAGGCTTTGGATAAAGCTGATGATTGTTGCGAACTTTCACTTTTGCCTGAATGCAGAGCAATCACATGTTTGGAAAGTTTGTCATCAAGTTCCTGTCAATAAAAAAATTGTTTTTGAATTATGTTTAAAATATTTAACAAAACTTAATGTAATTTTAAAATTTAGAGCTTTATTAATTCTTAAAATTATTAAAAATCAAATGATGTAGGGTTTTGTTTTATATAAAATTAATTTATGCAGATTCATGTTTTTGACAGCCCAGTGCCACTGAATTTGATCTTAATTCCATGTTTCTCCAACTTTTGATATTCTAAACAGAGTACTACTGAATGCTACTCACTATGGTGAATACTCCAATTTGTATGTATTTTTCTTATGTAATGTACTCCATATGGTTAATTAAAATTTTACTCCAAATGCTCATGAAAATTTGACTAAAACATTGTTCTTTATAGGAAGAATGTTCTATATGTAAAACATTTGAAATATACTTGAATGCTTTCTGTTAATTGTAAAGATTCTGACTACTACTTTCTTTAGCAAGAAAATGATTGATTCATAAAACAACTGTTTCAGTAGACAACTTAATATACAACCTCATACAACAACTAAAATGATTTTTGAACTAATGTTTTTTGTCATATTTAATGATCTTTGTCAGGTTTGCTATTCAAAATAAATAAATAAATAAAATAAAAATTATTTTGATGATTTTCTTGAATAGAAAACTTGACAAAGATCAATAAATATGACTGAAAATGTTATTAACCATTTCTTTTCTTTCTGTACAAGTTGTTTATAGTTTAAGTGGAAATGATTAATTTGAAAGTTTAAAAGACTTTAGCTCTAAAACCTATAACTTTATCACTTATTACTGTTTTATGTTTATTATATTTTTTTGCAACTTTTTAATGTTAAAATATTGTTAAATCTTATGTTTCTCCTATCATATCTATGGTGACAAATGTGTTATATTTCTAGAGCAACTGAGATTTGTTTTATTTTTAGTGTTCTTGATGAGCATTACTTGTTTGAAAACATTCTAAAGTTATAAACATTTAAAATTTAATTAAAGAAATTTTAAAATTCCATTTGCTTTTTATTATAGAGTTTCCAAGATTAAAAAATTTCCATTATCTCATAGTGTTTGTATTTATTATAATCAGGGCTTTTGATTCGGAGTCGTGGAGTTTTAGTCAGAGTAGGTAGATTTTTGACAACTCCAACTCCTTTTTACTTTCCCAACTTATGTATATAAAATGGAAAAGTATTGAAATTATGTCAAATTTGACCCTCAGAGTTTTTTGCAAATCTGCACATTTGGACACTTCCTAAACCTAAAAAAATGCCAAGGGGGAAAATTCATCTGTGCACGTCTGTCTGTGTCTGTGTGGGAGAGTACATATTGACATCTAATTTGTATAATTTCTATATTCTGTTCTGAAATATTAAACAATACCTCAGAATGGGTAAAGTTTTTCTTCTTAGTCCTTCAGAGGGTGTGGTGATATTACAAATTGACGGCTTTAATTGTATCTTTCCACTGCTCATGGTGTTGTGCCGTTTGGATGGGGAGACCAAGTAATCATCATTACTTGATCTCCCCACCTAATCCAACATCTGCCTCTAGGGTATTTGCCATTGATCTTCCCTTCTAGAATTTGTTTCTCAAATCCATTTTTGCATCTGGAAATATGTCCCAAGAAGCAAAGGTAGGATTGGTATATTTTAGTGGTAAGGCATGTTGTGATTTTCAGTTGATTTAGGATGGAGCAATTTGTTCGGTGCTCCATCCAAGAGATTCTCAGCATTCTTCTATATATATGTCCATATTTCAAAGGAATCAAGTTTCTTCCGAGAAGTGGCATTTATGGTCCAGGTTTCCGAAGCATAAGTGGCAATTGGAAAAATAAGTGTTCTTATGAGCTTTAGTTTATTAAAAATAGTGATTGCAGAATCTTTCCAAATTCTAAATAATTTAGAGGTTGCATTACAAGCAAGGCAAATTCTGCATTTAATTTCATTATCGCATCCTCCTTTATTTGGGTAAAGTTTAAGAAATGAAATTTGGTACGGTAGCTTGTGTATAAAGGGGCTATTAAATTTATGTTCTTAATTAAAGTTGACAGGGTGGAGACATAGAAGGGGTCATATCATATCTCCAGTGTGATCAGACTTAATAAATATTTTACTCATTAGTGTTCACAATTTTTTATAAAACTGTCTCTACCCTCAAAATTAAGCTTGAGTTCTAATATGAGAACAGGAAATCTTACAAAATTTAAAAATGATTTTTACAATGCACTGGAAAAAGTAAATCACATTGACTGTTCTTCAAATTCAGATGTTAAAATGATGATACTGCACTATCCAGACATTATCCAAAATACAGCATTGCTGCCTACGCAAGTTTCAGTAGTGTGTTTATTTCTGCTCTTAAAATTATTAAATCTGATTTAAGATAAATCGAAGCGATTCTTTTTTTAAGAAGTAATTGAGTTTATAAGAGATGAAAAATAATGAATTAAATAACATGGCAAAATAAACAACCTTTTTCTTTACCAGTCTAAATATTTATATTTCATATTCTTGACTTAGGTGAATGCTTATACAGTAGAGTCTCGAAAACTCAGCACTCAATAACCCTGCACTCTGGATAACTCGGCCACACCCTGGCAGGGCAAAAAAATCCTTAGTTAATTAATTTTCATTATAGACAGCTTTATAAAAGTATAAAAGCTCTTATAAAGTATTTTTCTGAGGTCTGTCTTATCAGGTAAATTACTGTACACAGTGTATTCATTAATTTTCATTTTCATGTAGTAAAGGCTCTATGCCTTCATAAAGGACATACTTTTCCTTTGTTTAAGGGTATTTGGGCAGTTTATTCTCTGTTGTATTCTCAAGTAAACAATGCATACAAGTACAGTACAGTATTTCTGAGGAAACACTCATACTTATTTTTTTTAACCCCATTCCCGATAACCCGGCATTTTCACAAACTCGGCCACCCTTCGGTCCACATTAGGCAGAGTTTTCGAGGCTTTACTGAATTAGGTATGTGCATGCTTATATTATGTACCACATTTTTATTAATGCATTCATATTCAAACTAATTTGTTTGAATATGAATGCATTTACTGTTTTTATTTATATATGCTTACGAAATACCATTGCCATCATCAAACAAGTCAATAAATATGAATTTATATATTAAGTAGACGTGTAGATTTAAGTAGATTTAAAATCATTTTATTTCGTAGCTTTAAAAATGTAATCAGAATCATCATCATCGTTACTTCCCCAGCTGTTATACAGTATAGGTATATAACAAATGAAAAGAATGACAATCAGTCAAAAAAATGACTTTCTCAGATTTTTATTCTTTTGGACTGTAATGTAGAAAAGTGCAAAAACATTCCAGATTTTTTCTGCATGCACGAATGTTAAAATGTGTGGGGGGCACAATTTAGTTCAACCACTTTAAAGCTTAATAACTCCTGTGTTAAACCATCCAACTCTGATTCAAAAACCACAGAAGTTATTAAGTTTCAAACAGGGTGAACAAAATCATGCCCCCACACACAGTCTAACATCTGTACATACAGGAAAAAAATTCCAAATCTTTTGACTATCTTGTCATTTCAAGATGCCTTAAGTCTAAAAATGTAAAAATTTAGAGAATGTCATTTTTGACAGATCACTACACTTTCCCTCCATTATATATAACAGCTGGGAAAGTAAAAATTATTGAATACATATTTATATATTGACTATGTCATTACTTAGAGGTGTTTTTAACTTTGGAATAAAAAAGTTTCTATGTTCTATCTTTATTAGAACTCTATTTTTCGAAGCTTATATTCTGAGGTCATGCGATAATATCAGAATTCCTGAACCTATTTTGTTAACAAGTCCACCCCTGATCGCAGTCTGAGTCAGATGGTAAAGCAAAGTTGGAGTCAGTAGATTTTACATGACTCCACAGCCCTGATTATAATATAATGTATATTCCTAACATGTTTATGAATACAGTGAGTGATCAGTTAATGAACAGTTTAAACTGCAAACAAATTGGACAATAAACACTTTCATTAAAGATTTTTATGTTCAGACAACAAACACAGGTTCAGATAATGAACATCTCAAAAAACAAACACTAAAAGAAGTGACAAGATTTGTAAAACTATATTTTACTGGCATCTGTGAATAGTTTATGGAACAAGACTTTCACATATACATAACCTTTTTTGCACTAGTTGATTTCTGTTCTCTGAATTTTTTTAAGCAATTATCTGAAATTTTTATTTAAAATAAACTGATATTATTATGTGGCCTAAAATGAGTGGGTGTCAAGAACTGTGTTCACTATAAAAACCAAGCAAGAGATAATAGCCAAGGTAGAAAGTGGACAGAAGATGTCTGATATTGCTAGGCAGTGTAGCTTCAACAAGTCCAGTAGATACAATCTCAGCTAAGAAAGATATAATCAAAAAATCTCAAGAAGATAAGTCAAGGAGTAATGAAAGTCACATCTGAGAAACAAAGATGTGCCATCCATGAAAAAATGGAGAGCTTGCTTCTTTTAATTTGTTATTACATATAAATAAGCATAGGTAAGAAATTATATAATTTTTATTTATTTTTTGAGTTCTCCAGAACAAATTAATCAAATTCCCATAAAAATCTATGGTAAATCGATAATCAGTTAACAAACAATTTGGGTAGCAAACATTGTCTTTGAATGGACTGTTTGTTAACTGATCACCCACCGTATATCATAATGTTCTTTAAATTGTATGAAATATGAATAAATCAAAATAAATTTACAAGGCTAATGTAGTTTTAGATACGTTAAATGAAAACTGAAAGTAATTGAATAACAAAGCAAGAATTTTTTTAAGCTATAAACAATAAAAAAATGATAATTTTTTTTGTTTTTTAAAGTTTAATTATGAATTATTTTTATTCAGAATAACAAAAGGTTAAATTAAAAAATTTTCTATTGTAAAAACAGAAAATAATTACCTCATTAGGTTTATCTAAAAGAATAAATACTAAATCAAATCTTGACAGAAGTGCACTTCCCAGACGAATATTTTCTGAAACAGTTTTGGCTTTATTATAATGTCCACCAACTGGATTTGCTGCTGCTAAAATGGATGTTCTTGCTGGCAAACTGCATACCATACCACCTTTAGCAATACTAATTGTTTGCTGTTCCATTGCTTCTAACAATGCATGATGTTGATTATTCATTTTATCAAATTCATCAATACAGCAACAGCCTTGATCTGCCAGAACTAATGCTCCAGCTTCTAAAGCATATTCACCATTTGCTCCTTCTTTGGTTAAAGTGACAGTTAATCCTGAAGTTGTTGTTGTATTTCCACATACATAAACACCACGAGGAGCAATATTAGCACAGGCTTGTAACATTTGGCTTTTTCCTAAACCAGGATCCCCAACAATCAGAACATGTATATCACCTCTTATTGGTATTTTCTTATCATCATTAAGAAACTTTTGTGATCCACCAATAAGACCTAAAACTAATCCAGCTTTTACCATTTCATGACCATATATAGTAGGACATAAGGAAGCAGCGAATAAACGAAATAAATTGTCTTCACTACGTATAGCATTAATAGCACTTAAATCCTTTGCACTTAAATCAATACCGACTAAAGATAAATTATCACTGTATGTTTTTGAAGAATTATTTTCCCTACAATTTACAATGGAATTTACTGAAATATATAAGAGAAACATACATCTATCCTTATTGGTTTGAAAATTATTATCTTGAGTATTCATAACATTCACAATTCCTGAAACTGTTACCACATCTCCAGGTACACAGCTGTCTACTAGATCATACAAGAGTTTGCATTCAATTGTCCTAGGAACACGACCACCTTCTCTTTGTTCATCAACAATAATTTCTTGAAGTCTGATTTTTTGCCAGTCAACTGTTTCTGTTAACTTTGAATCTCGTAGAGGTAAAAACTGATGTGATCGACAACCTTTAGTTACACATTTTTTTGGAAGGGTATATTTTCCATCTAATTGGGTAACAACTTGAGTAACCAAACAACTTTTGCATTCAAAAGCTAATTTTGTGCAATATGGTTTAATATTACTTACTCTTACAACAGTTCCTTTAATGGAAACAAATTTTCCATAAGAATTTGCTTTGATTTGTTTAAGTGGAGTTAGAGGTTCAAAACCAACAAACCGTGCATGAATTTTTGGAATGTTACACTGTACAGAATCTGCACTTTTGTTAATCTCCTCAGAAAAAGATAGATTTACTGATAATTCTTCTTTAATTTCTTCGGTTATAATGTGATGCATTGCTAATCCAAAATATTCAATTACTGTTGCAGGTGAATCTCTTATGTTATCAACAATATCAGGCCATTCTAGATTTAAGCTTTTATCTTTCAAAACTTGGCTAATTTCAATAATGAAAGATCCTTTGGATTCAATACTATCAGTGCCTATTTCTGTCTTTAATGTCTTGCAATATGTTTCAACTAATTTTAATTTTTTAACTGTTTCACTGTTTGGTTTATATTCTTCATTTGTTATATAAAGCTTCCATCCTGAATAAGGACCTGACTGAGGAGAAAAGTCTACTGTGTCAACTTGTGTTTGTTTCAAATTACCAGATGGATTTGATACACTCAATAATTGCATAATACTGGATGTATTACTTGTATTTAATTTATCTTTAGAGGATCCAGGATTTTGTGGTAGATTCTTTTTCTTATATGACTTCCATGAACCTGGATGTCCACCTCTTCTATTCCAAAAAGGTCTTCTTCCACCTTGTCCTCTATTCATACTTGTTATATTCTAAAATAATAAAATTATATATAAATAAATGAATTGCTAAACTTTTTTGGTCTAAAATAAATGTTTTTAATTAATAAAGTTTGATATCTTAAATAAAATATATCATAAATATTAAAAACAAATAATTATAATATTTGCTTACCTTTCTTCAAAGCAATAAAAATATTAAGATAAAATTAATAAAAGTGAACCAAAATTTTATACTTATACTTTTGCATGTATTCTTTACAAATGCAGAAATTGTATAGAGAAATGCCAAATAAAGCAACAAAAATGCTGTACTGAATCCTTCTTATCTACTTTTTTTTAAAAGATCTTACTGGTTTGAATTGAATCTGAAATGTTTCAGATTAAAATCAGTAAGATCTTTTAATGCTTACAAAAGTCATGCTATATATTTACTAAGAATATTAACTAGGGAAAGTTCATTTTCTGTCAAAACATGAACTAAGAATTGAATCAAAATGTAGCAAGTCAATAATATTATTTCAGGGACCCCAAAAACATTTTATTGACTTGAAATAAAAAGAAAAAAAATTGCACTCTCTCATGTTAGCAACCTTGGATATTGTCAATTTGATGCAACTGTATGTCAAAAATGAAACCTTGGACCTCCAATTTTTATTACATTTTTAATTTTGTCTCATATTAAATAAAATGACAAAGAATGAACTCAATTCTACAACATAGAAGAGGTTTTGCTAATGCTCTGCCTGAATAAAATATGGCAGAAAAGATTTAAATAACTGAATTCTTTAACCATAGAAATAGCAACAACTGTAACTGAATATTCTTCTTCAAGGAAAAAGTATAAGAATTCTAAAGAAAAACTCTGTATTAATTAGTATCAATATAAAATCATTCAATAAATAACTTCTTATAACTTTTTGGCTTTACTTTCAAAATATAGACCTATATAGGTATATTATATTTTTAGTGGGAAATTCAACTTGTGGCAGTCTTTAGGATTATAAACTATTTCTACATAAATGAAAAATTTGACAGAAGCCATTTCTAGAAGCAACCCTTCCCATCTTGTCCTCTGCAGTACTGAATGATTTGCAGTAATGAAAATTTTAAATTAAAAAACTTAAAAATAATTATATTCTAAAACTGTTTAAAATTAGTATGTTCCTCTTTGTAAGGAATTAAAAATGTTTATGTAACTTGAAGTGTATTACAAATGTATATTATGACGGTGGTTCAATTTCTGTCTAGAATTTCAGTAACAGCAATAGAAGAATTGCATGTGTTATGTAGTACCAATTTGTTTCTTTCTCTAAGTTTCCCTTCCACATGATGGCACTTTTCTTGTTATTTTGGCAATGATGCCTGCAAGACAGAAATATTTTGGTGACATCAGAACCATTGCATGATTAAACTTTGACTTCAGAGCTTGACATATAATGGCTCCAGTCTCCCAAGGTTTCCTTAAATGGGCAAAACAGGTGATAATCACAAGGTATCAGATCAGGTTTTATAGTTAGGCCAGGTGATCCAGGATTTCCTAACCATCATCTCCATTGCATGATAGCCATGCTCCAATATCATCCAAAAGACTTCTACTCTGCAAGAATAGCATCATTGCCAAAATGATGGGAGAAGTGTCATCATTTAAAGGAGAACATCTAGAGATACATAAATTGGGACCCTGTGACATATGCAGTTCCATCATTATTACTGAAATTGCAGAATAAAGTTGAACTACCCTTGTATTTATTGAAATATATTTAATGTTCAGAATTGATGCTACATGGCAGTAAATTAAATTATTTGTTAAATATAAATAAAGTACCTCTCAACAAATAATTATGAAAGTCATTAAAATATTTTAGGTTTATCTGTGCAAACCAAATGTAAGGAAAATGTCAGAACAGAATATCTCTTGTAAGGTTATTCCTAGACCAATGAATGATTCTTTTTGGCTTTTGTGTTCATACAGGAATGACCTAAAATCTTAGTATCAATAACACTCAGTAGAGAGAATATCTTGCCTTTAGGAAGGGCGAGATATTCTCTCTGCTGAGCATTATTGACACTTTATAAAATCTTTGTAGTTAAATAATAATTTAATATTTTATAAATTAGAAGTTTAGATATTACATTTAAGTTTTTACATAATTATATATAAATAACATGTAATTTTTAGGAAATTATGTAATAATGTTTATGCAGAAGAAATTATCAAAATTCAGGATGTATACTAAAATACCATAAAAGATGATAATTCCAAGAACAACATTGAAACTTAAATATTTTCATAATCTCAATGTAAAGAAAGTAAAGATAAAATGAGTGGAAAACCTATTTCCAAATTGAAATGGGTTATGTAAATAGACTACTACTAAATGCAAGTAATGTTTCATATTGAATTTAAGGTTGAACATTAGGACATTAAAACTATTATTTTGATTACCTAATCTTAGTGTCACTCTATTAACACTGTGCTGGCCTGAATAAGTTTTATACGAAAATAAGACTGCATAGCATTAGTCAAGTATAACTTTTGATTTATTTCAGTATTTGTATGTGTTGTTTTGTTGAGTATCAAACTCATTTAACATAGTTTATCTCACAAACCATCGCACAAATTATTTATGCAAGCAACAACTGAAATACTAGATATCGAGTTTTCTGTTACGAATACTGTGTAATCAGTGCCAGCCCGAGGCAAGTTTAAGGATGGAGCGAGATCCTATTATGGCGCCCCCTCTTGGTTGCCCCTAATTTATACCCTTTAATTGTCTTTACCACTGAGGCGCCCCCTTGGACTTTGCGCCTAGAGCGGCTGCTCCGTTCGCCCTATGGTAGGGCCGGCTCTGTAATAACTGACTCAATTAATCGAATTTTTCAGAGGTGTTTACTACAAATTATAGCATAAGCAAAATTTCAGTTTTGTTTTGTTTAACTTTTTTTTTTTATATGCATTACCTTGTTACACTTGTTTAGAACAAAAACAGTTAAGAAGAAAACGCGAGATGTAGATGATCGTAAACTTTTACCGTATTAACAAACTCACATCATGTATATAATTAAAAAAACTCCGAAAATCTTTCGATACAAATTTAAATTTAGCTCCCTCTCATCAACTAGTCGTCAATTGTCCAACTATCAACTTTCACACGTGAAATAGATCAATATTCGCCCAATATTCGAAAGTACCAAAAATTTATGAATATTCACAAACAATATACTTGAATATATTTAATTAATTTTTTACAGCATTCCAAAATTTATATAATTTTTTATGTTCGAACGTATGCACCGTACAATGTACATAGTTTAAATGTTTTACATTCGATAAATAGAAATTTACATTTTCACATCCGATTTTTCAGCACTCTTGGTTCGAAGACCGGATGGCCGAGCGGCAAGATGGCAGCTTACCGTTCTAGAAGACCCGGGATGGAATCTAGACGGCTCGAAAAAACTTCAGGAAAATTTCGGGGAATGAGCCGTTCGGATATGTCGGGCCCCGTCCGTCACCACACGGATGTCCAATTGAGAGCATAGATGAACCCTTAATGGCTTGCTAAAAGAGGCCCTCTGTGTCTACAGGGCGGAAAGAGTTGAAAAGAAGTAAATATTACCTAGAGACAATGCGACAGCCTACTACTATGGATCATGATCAAAATCAAAGATGATCGTTAATTGAGGCAACCTCTCGAACTGTAGTGCAATTATAAACAAACTACTGAATTATTTATTCCTGCATTATCAGAGGTCGGTTTTTTCATTGTTCGTCTTCATTACCAGGTTGCTATATAGTGAGTACAAGTGTCTTTCATATATTAAATATTCAGTCTGCTTATTCATGTCAACTTGTTTTGGTTGACAGTGACTAGAACGAGTAGACTTTGCCTTTCATTGTATTAAAATTTATAATTCTATTTACTCTACAAGCTAGTATTAATCTTCTTACAACAAAAATTATAGTTCATATAACTTTGTATTATTATTATTATTATCGAGATCCGTTTTTCGGATGGCCTATCGTCATCTTGTAACTTTTATATTGACGTATTTAATTTTTATACATGTTATCTCTAGTATATAGTCTGTAAACTTTTTGGAAAAGGCCCATACAGATAATTTTCTATATGGACACTTTTACAAGTGTTTTTTAGCGTAACACTTCTAAAAATGTCTCAACAAATAATTGCTCGTTTGTGCAGGGCTTTTTTTAAACCACTCTTTCAGTCCTGTAGGCACTAAGAGGGCCTCTTATAGCAGGTCCATTATGGGTTCGGCCAGGCCCACAATGGGGCGGCTGGGTGGCGAGGGACGGGCCCGACATATCCGAACGGACCATCCCCAAAAAATTCCTGGGATTTTTCGACCCAGGCCGGATTCGATCCCGGGTCCCCCAGAGGTAGGTTGCCACCTCGACCGCTCGGCCATCCATGCTTTATCACTAGTAAATAATTTTTGTATATTCCAATTGTTATTTAATTTCTTCCTCTGTCAGTGTCGGATTTAGCACTTGAGAGTCCTCAGGCGCATTTCAATTTTGAGGCCTCCTCTAAATATTTTCACTATCCCTATACCCCACAGTGTGCATTCTACAAGCACGTGTTTTACTCTGGTAGGCTCCATACAAGTGGTCCAAAAAAAGTGAGACATAGAGAAATAACATTGAAAATTAACCAATATAAAATTACATTTGCCTGGCTGTATTTAAAAGGTTACTGATGTTCAGATTGTATTAATTATGAAAATGAAACTTATTGGTACAAGAATTATTTAGTTTCAATAGGTAAGTGTTAAAAACAAAAAAAAATCTAGTAATCCATGGATATAAAAAAATAATTTATTTTTAAATTTACTACTGATTTGTATTTATTTCAAAAATCTAGTAATCTACGAATAATAAAAATTTATTTGTAAGTTATTATAATAGATTTCACTATTGTTTGATAAATAATTAAAGATAATTTAGGGAATAGTGCTAAATTATTAATTATTTTTATTATGAAAAAATAATAATTAATTAAAATAATCTTTTTGTTTTATTTTGAGAGCTGAATTTTGAGGCCTCATAAATCGAGGAGGCCTCAAAATTCGCCCAAGTGCGCGCCTGTGCAGAAATCCGCCACTGTCCTGGGTTTATACATGCAAAACTTCTTTTTTAAGGAACGAATGTCAGTATGTCAGATAAAATCTTACGGGCTATACTTTGGGGACCATGGTCTACACAATATATTTTTTTTTTTAATCGTAATATCTCTTCACTTTTAAGCATGAATCTTTTTGGTATGACTTTAAATTTTACAGATGTGAGTATAAAAATTACTTTACAATTGTAATTGTTTAACTTTTTAGTTAATTTATTTTTACATTACGTTTTTTTTCTTTATCTTCTTGGTTTTGCAAATGAGAATTCTTTGTTGTTCTGTACAGAAGTCTTAAAAAATAAAAGTGAAAATCGGAAATTTCTGAAGAGTAATTGTTGCTTTTAGCTATTAATTACTCATTTACTAAAACTAATTAGAGTTAAAGTTACTAAATAGAAAATATAACTGAATTAACTGAATAAAAATGAAAATATTACCAATTAGTTACAGGAGAGATAAGTAGTTACACTACATTTCTGTTAAAAATTTCTATAAAATGCCTTCATTCCATAATTTATCTGGTAAATTTATATACAGTGACCATATTTTTGGGAAAAAATAAGGACAAATCAAAAATTTCTTCATAATAGAAAAAGTAGGTTGTGTTTATTTGTTTCGCTAAAACTAAAAAGCTTTATAACATTTAGGCCTATTATAAAATTAAGCATATACATAGCATTTTAAACAATCATATTATTATTTTAATTTTGATACTTTACACAAGATTTAACTTTTTTAATAAATCAAATTTATGTTTTAAAAATTCATAAAACTGTATACAGTTGTTGTCAAAGTTGCATTTTGTGTAAATGTTTGCTTCCAATGTTTCGATTTTTAATTGGGTTTGTTCACTGGTTCATATATTATTCACTAATGAAAATACTCGCATTAGATCAAGGGAGGCATAAGCAAAATCAAATGATTTTCTAAAATTGTTTTAAGTTATGTGTTTATCTGTGAAATATTTAAACATTTCAACTATCTACGTTGGCAGAAGTTTTTTTTTTGGTCGACACTCTTAATCTTTTTACTGGTGACATGACTTTTAATCAGTGGTGGTATTCAAATAATTTAATAATTATCCTGTTCGCTGCCATAATGACTGTTTTAAGTATCAAAACGATATATCGAAAGATAGTTTATTATTTCATGTAGTTAATACTTAAATAAGAACAATAAAAGATATACTGTACACGAAACTAGATTATAAGAGTTTTAAAATGTTAATGAAAAAATATTAAACATTACCTGACAAAAAACAATAAAACTGTTATTTAAGACATTTCAATATTGCTTCTTGATTGGCTTCCTTACTTGCAATTTTTTTTTTCGCATTTATCCGAGCATCATCAGTTGTGAGGTTCAACCTTAATTACCTTTTCACTGTAGGAGTAGGATCTCATTTCTTTAGAGGTAGGCCGATTAGACCAATAATCATTGTGTTTGATATATTAGAAACAGGCGACTTCTCTTCTCTTAACATATGTTTATCTTTGAAAAACCCCTTTCTGCTTCTGTTGAACTTACAGCAACTGTTTTGACAATATTTTTAGCTGTTTGAACATTTTCAGGAATTACATAATTTTGGGAAAATCTCGATATTCATTAATATCATTTTAGTAATTAAAAATGTCATTAAATACGCTCAATTGTTCTTCAGCTGCTTTCCATGGAACTAGTACTTCTTCAATATTCCAGTAACCTGACTCCAAAAAATTTAGAAATTGTAATTTATTTCATATTGACATTGGCTACAACTTGCTTCTAAATATCCACAATCCATTAGTCTTTTTTTTTTGTTTTTTAATCCGTTACGACGTTTTCTAAAAGTCTTTCTCAAGGAGGCCCGATAAATCTATGATTTTTTTCGTTTGGATCCCTTTCCTTCCAAGCATTTGAAATGTTTTAGTAGATTTTATCACTAGTTTTTCAGCCTGTATTATGTCTATATTTCTTGCTTGCAGTGCAAGAAATATAAAGAAGAGAAATTTGGTTTGAAATATCAATCATCAATGCCAAATCAGTTATAAAATGTATATTTTCAAGATGGGCGGTCATATCCCAAGTACTTTTTATTTGAATAAAAATAGTGATATAGCGCTTGATAAGTACGCTATAGGCTAGGCTGAATTTAAACTATAGGCAGCCCATCTTGGTCCCAAAACTCTACAAATCTTTATAATTTCAATCCCAAGTTGTTCGGTTATTTTGGAAACTTTAATTTGGTTCTTATTGGATTGATGAAAAATAATACATATATATCTTATCAATAAATATTTTAAAATAATTTACTTGCTTTATTTCCTTTATCAAATCATCCAAAACAAGATGGAGGCGATAGTTTAAATAGTGCCGTATTATTATGTTTGGAAATCTTTCGCAATTTTAGTGCTCACTCCAGATTTTTTCCAAGTATAACGCTGGCAATATCGGAGCAAAATCCTATTAAATTTTTTTCTAGGTAGTTCTTAGTAAGCCCAATATTATTTGAACTTTCCATAACTGAAGATCATATTGTCTCTGCATTATGGTTTTCCAATTCAACTAGTTCAACGAAAATTGTTGGTGATGTAACTGAATCCTCAACTTTTAAGTAAAGTACAATAACTGATTTGCAGGATATCGTTGAAACTTCGTCAATAATCAAACATATTTTTAGATTACAGTAACCGCCGTATAACACGGCACTTCTATAGCACGGATTCATTCTAACACGGTTCGAGAATTGGGAACATCCCCCGTATAGCACGGGTTCACTCTAACACGGTTCGGGAATTGAGTAAAACCCTCGTACAGCATAAAATGTAATAAAGGGTGTGTTCTTTTTTTACATCCGCGTAACACCGCGCGAGCATTCTAGTTGTTTTCGTGGCTACTTTAAATACTCTTTCAACAAATAATCCATTTAATGGTTAAATTTATACAATTGGGACCTTTCTTTTGCCTCTAAAAACTCATTTTAGAATTATAGATTCCTCCATTATAATACTATCGATAGTGCGGCCGCCGCCATCTTTCTTTCATCGTCATTCTTAAATGCCTACAAAGAGCAGCGCACTCTCGTTGCAGAGCGACCGCTATTAATAAACGCACCCAAAAACTGTTACCAGTTGATGATGCTCATGCTGAGATCATCATATAAAATAAATAATCCTGTGGTAAAATATTTACTTAAATAATAAGTATTTTACCTATGAAAAAAATGAATAATAGATCCAATTTAAATAAGGATTTAACAACATGTTTTTTTAATTTTTGGAACCTAACTTCCCTTTTCGCACTAGTTCTTTGTTTCGTACAACACGGATTCGCATAACACAGCAATTTTTTGGAACGTAACTCTCGTGTTATACGGGGTACCTGTATTTTCAATAATTTTATGAAATATTTCTTATTAAATTTCCTTTGCAACTAAATCAACAAACGTGAGAGATAAAAATGTAGTATTTCATCAAAGATATACTGTAATGAGTTTTATGATATAAATAAATAAATATTATAAGCATAGTTCGGTCAAATTTTTTATTACCCGAGGACGAAATGGACACTACTACGAGCACTCGTAGTAGTGCTCGTATGTGCAACAGCGTATTCTAATACGCTGTTGCACAGATGACGTTAAAAAAGAGTAAGGAATATAAAATATGTAATTTCCACATTGGGCTGCTTCCGAGGCGCTCACCTTAGAGAAAACCCTGATTATAAGTGCCATTTTAACAACCGGTTCGCCGAACTCAACAAAGTTTAATTCTGTCCCTCTCCCCCGCGGGGGAATATCGAAAAATCCCTTCTTAGTGTACATTCTGTTGACGTACCCTATTAAAACGCAATCAAACCGCAAAAACCCGCATCTAAAATAGTATAAATAGAAGCAGAGTTCTTTACCGTAAGCCTTAATCCTAACCATCTCCCTTCAGTGGGGGGAATTTCGACACGTATATTACAGTATATAAAAACACGTGCGTATTCGAATGCAGCGTTATGTGAAAATTTCAAAGGAATCGTTAGGAACAAACGAACATTACATTTTTATTTATATAGATAGACAGAAGATGATCCGCTTTAGTTCATTTTCACAGAAAAGCATAATGCCACACAGAAAAGTAAACTTAGGGCGTCGTACTCGTAGCGCCATCTGTTGGACAAAAAAGCCTTAACCATAGATGATATCATTTAATTTATATGAATGTTTAACGGAATAATATACAGCCTATTTCCACCCCGAGGTTCCATTCTAAATATTGATAAAAGAATTTTTGAAATCGGATGAGTAGATTTCGGAGATTACCTGCTGCAAAGAATATTAGTATAGATATATGACTAAAAATCTGTGGCAAAGCGGTTTATTACGCAATGGGTAGACCAGTGTTTCCCAACCTTTTTTGTGCTATGCCCCACCTAGACTTTCTAAAGTTCTTATGCTTCCCTAACATATACAGCGGCTATACGGTTAACTTAAAATCTGGACGAGTCCATTTTCGAATTGCCCCTCTTAAAAATCAAATTGCCCCCCTGTGGGGCGTGGACCCTACTTTGGGAAACACTGGGGTAGACTGTTAAACAATATGGATTATCGATTAAAACATTTTTGTGAAAGAGTCGTTTATAAACTTAAATGCACATGCACAGATAAGAAGGTTTACATCGGAGTGACAGGAAGAGAACTCGGAATAAGATTGAAAAAGAGCGAAGCGGCAATACGTTTAAAAAGAATACAATCACGCTGGTATCAACATTGTAGTAATAACACCTGTATTATTAATCGTAATAACATAAAAATATTGTATAAAATAGAAAATTTATTTGTATGACGCATTGTGGAACACTATTGTATTAAAAGTTATGCAAATACAGTTGTCCCTCGATAATCCGACAGGTATGGGACCAAAGGGGTGTCGGATTACCAAAAGTGTCCGGATTACTGAAAATGATTATATATTTCGCATTGTTTTGCTAGCAGTAACTTACAATATTCTCTACTCCAACTGTTCGAACAGAACTGCTCACATAAAACACACGAAATGTGTGTCATCGAGTAAGAATTGGATGGGGAGATTCACATCACGACATGCTTCTGTGCAAGCAGACACGTAACGGGGATGGGGACCTTGACGGGAGGTGCGTCGGACTACTGAGCACGTCGGATTAAAAAACGTCGGACTATCGAGGGACAACTGTACTAATAATTTGAATACGGGAATCAACATAGATGCATGCTGGGATAGGCTAATCAAATATAAGAGCACAGATAATGTTAAACGAATTAACCACTGAAGAGGCTGTAAAGTGAAATGCATTTGGTGAAAATGTTTAATAAAGTAAGAAAGTGATTGACTTCAATTCTTTCCACTTGAGTGTTTTTTAGTTTCTTCGAAATAAGAAAAAACTGAGTAATTTTAACTCGTTAGTTTAAGAGAGATCTTTAAATATCTTTTGCACTTTTTAATTTTTTAAAATTTATAGATAATAAATATTGTACTATACATATCAGAGAAACCACACTCCTGATGTCACTGGAAATCACGTCATCCGTTGATTGTGGCGCCGCGAAACTAGGTCAAATACGTAACATTACGTTACATTTTGAGTAAATTAATTAATTAAAGTAGAATTACCTTTTTAGTTTTGTGAACAATAAGTACCAGTCATTGTTCAACTTCCATTGCTCAACTACTAGCGGATTTTCTGTGGCCGAAACATAAGTACTTTGGTGCAAATGATTATTACTACTTTACACTATACTGTATTATTATATATTATAGTTTGTATATATACTCATTTCTATATATGTATCATCTATAATATCTTTGCACTTCTGCTGTTCGCTTCTTTTATAATTTGTTAACTTGCGCTTAATTGTTGTGATTCTAATTTTATTTTATCTTCGTTACTTTAATTGTTACTGTATATTTTAAACTATCTTATCTTTCATAAAATTTTACTTGTATAAATATATATTACGCCTGTATAATATCCTTGTTGCCCTCCCATCATTGTACAATTTTACTCTTAATGTTTATTAATATGCTGTGTTCATTGTCATAATTAGTTAGTGTTTTTAAATCCTGATAATGCTCAGCAAAATCAGGAAATGTAACTTATGTTATTTTAATAAAATGAAAATGAATGAATGAATGAATGAAATAAGCACCAGTAATTAAAATTACTGGTACTTATTGTTCACAAAACTAAATGTTTTGCTTGATGTATCCAAACACAAAAACAAATGAATTTCTTGATTATTCCGAAAGTCCCCTGGTCCCATCAATATTGGATAACCGAATTTCCACTTTATGTAACTATATGACAGTTAAGTTATAAATTGTTTTTATTGAAGATATTTATACACTTTTTACAGTATTATGTGTTGTATACAGTAGTTTTTCTACCGCTTGAAATAATGCTCCGGGTTTATCTTATCAAGAGCAAAAAATATAGGGCGTTCAATTAATGATTCCCCATGAATGGAAACGTGATGAAATACGTATAGTTTCTTAAATAATCCAATAAACATGAACACTTGCTATTCCAAAAGCATTAACACTTGCAAATTTGAATCATCGCAGGTTGCACGCACGGTATGGAGAGTAGTGCATGTCACTGTAAAAAGCTTGCGAGCTTAAACGTTCAAGGAATGCCAAACCAATATAGACGATGAGCCCGCGTAGACTTTTGAAACCAATCTTTTTATAGCGACATATACCATGTTCCATATTCTGCATACATCCTGCGATATATTTCACTAGGACTAATGCCTTCGGAATTGAACAGCCCACTATTCAATTACGGTGCAGTTTGATATGGACAACGCCATTTTATAAACCACATAGTGGATACAAATTCTATCTGACAGAGACCACTACTGGTACGGGCTGCTTTACTGTCTACTCTTTTACTTATTATTAGTCTCCACCTTGTACTGTACGCTACGTTATTTTTATTTAACAGCTAACATACTAACCTTATTTATTGAATCAGCCTTGTAAGTTCAACATGTCTGTTAGTTTTTGTTTAAAAAATTAAAGTAGGCTTAATTTTTTAAAATAATTTATTTCGCCGCTTTATTGGAAGTTTACAAAATATCGGCAAAGAAAAGTCAGTACATCACCAAACAGCAAAAGTACAATATCAAGAAGACACAAGCACATGGTGCTGTATTTGTTTTCATGATATTGTAGTTTTTACTTTTTGTTCTCTCAAAGCTATGTTACTACGGAAAAAATGACGATAAAACGATGTGAACGATGTAAAAATGGCGAGATAATAAAACTGGCATAAAACCAGATAATAAAAATGGCGAGATTTGTAAATAAAACTCTCCGGTTTTATTTGCACATATCGCCATTTTGATACTCCACATCCAAAAACGTAAAAAAAAATTCTGTATACATATACAAAATTTTTTTTGTGTGTGTGTCGACGTTTATTTTTCATTATACAGTATCTCAGGACTAAATGAACCACAAATTTTGAAACTTGGTAGGTTTATCTATATATATAAAATTGCTTGTCCTGACAGACTGATTCATTCACTCACTGATTCATCATCGCCCAGAGCAAACCGCTGAACCTAAAGAGGTGAAATTTGGTACACAGTTAGGGTACGTCATGAAAACGCTCACTAAGAAGGGAT